GATGTTTTTAACAAGGTTCTTAAAATTTTTGGTAAAGTATGGAATGTAAGTTATTAGTTTTCAGGTCTGGATTAGTGTGGAAAAATAACACCCTAAAGGTGGGTTTTATAAAAGCAAATCTATCCAAAAAAGTTTACCTGTAGTTACCTCTAAAAAGTAATTATGGTTTAACAGTTTTCTGTTGCAGAGTTGCAAAATGAGGGAAAAAATACTGTTCATATTCTGCTACTTTCTTTTGTATCTAAGCATCAAAAACGTATGCCAATAAAAATGAATTAAGATGCAGTGTTTGTAATGTGAGGCTATATATAAAGGGTAACAGCAGCTTGATGTAGTTTCAGAAGTTATGAACTTACCAATTTGATGGCCACATATTCATTAGTATAGAGGTTTTTGCCCAGCCTCAGCTCTCCAAAGTTACCACAGCCAATTTTTTTGCCCACACGAAAGTTTGGGCCAACCATAAGAACTCCAGAATTGGTCCCTGTACCCCTGCCGCCATGTCCAGTCCTGCTGGTCGTCGTCTTTGACATCTTTTTTCCTTCCTCTGCCTCTCCTTTGCCCCCTCTCTTATCAAAATCCATAAGCTTATGATACCCTGGCCTCTCCACGGTTATTTTCCAGCCATGCAAACCATAGACACTCCAATAACAATAGTGGAGGATACTTTAGAGGGAGACAAATATTGCAGCAAAGAGGAGAGGAGTCGCTGTTAAAAAAAATCCTGGCCAAGACAGCAGGTCAAGTTGCCCGTGTCTCACTCATGCAGCTCGTCCCTTTTTGTTTTGCAGAGTGTGTTGGATATTAACAGGGGGCTCCCCTCTTGTAGGTGTCTTGACTCCAGGATCAGAGCAGAATTTCCATGGCCTGTGAAAAACGCTGGTTTCACTACGCTCTTCCCGTTGAGACGCACACAACACTAATCAGTAAAAGCCCTCCAAAGCGCAGCTACAGCTTCCACAAGGCCACTTGGGAACGTCATTTGGAGCGCCTCCTTCCTTCTGGTCACCCTTCATTCACACAATGGAGACTCTCCATGTTGCAGGGCTACACCTGGAGGCAACCCAAACGTTGAAGGAACAGCAACACCGGGAACAGTTCGGACTGTTGTCACTTTATCTGCAAAAATAAAAAACATACCAATCAGTTTATAGATAAAAACAATGTTTTTAAAAGCCTGTAACTGCAATCCTCATCATTAGTCACAAATTAACCAAATCACTTAAACCTTATTTTGATTTAAAGGCATAAATCTTCCTAGACTTATGGCACCTGCACAAACTGAACATATTTCATTAACCTAGAAAGCAAGATTGTTTGAAACTGCATATATTCAGATCAGGTTGACAAATGTTTTTCACCTTTTAGTTACTGTATAAAATTATAAGTGTGAACTATGACAACATGCCTGCATTCTCAGATAGGGTTGATAAACAAGAATTAGAACTAGAACTAGCATTCCAGCTCCTGGAATCCTTCAAATTTTTATTTCCGAGTCCTATTGCACTGTCCAAAAACAGAAGCCATTACATAATAATTTCTTTAAAGTAACACAACATTTTATTTTAAAATTGCACTTTAATTTTCAACCGTATTAGTTTTTATGCTATTCTGCATTCTATTACTGCAACATTTTTCTCATTTCTATAAGAGTTTTTTTCTAATTCATTTATATGCATTTTACTATTCCTCTTTAAAAAATTTAGGAAAAAATTATTTTTCATTTTAATTCACTATTAGAATATTTTTCCTCGTTTTTGATCTTGTAAATTACTTGATTAAAGACGGAGTAATATTTATTGATGCAATGTTTCCTTCAGCATATCACATTTAATACAATTTGGTCTAAGTAAAAGCAATAAATAAATACAACAAGAGAGTTTCACCTAAAATACCAACTGAAAAAAATTGTTGAAATTTCATGCCCATAAAACAACCCAGTTATTGTCACAATAGCTGGGAAACTTGCTAATAATGATTGGTTATCAAGTCACTGAGGTTTTGTTTTTTCTTTTCTTTTGCCGTTTTGCAAAAAAAAAAAAAAAAAAAAAACCTTTTACTTCAAATATCAAATTATGCCGACTATGGGTGCTTTGTACTACTGCTGAAATACGATATTAGTGCTTACTGGTGCAAAGAAAATTCAATACAAAAAAAAAAAGAAAAGGAAAAAAAAATCAATATGAGCAGAAATATTCCACTGAAGATTAGACAGAATTATTGTACAATTAAAACCTATTGGGTAAAATTCCACACAGTGTGTAAAAGCTAACAGATTAAATGTTCACATGATAGACTAACATCTGGATAAAAAACATTTTTAGTCTGATCCAGTCCATGGGTAGTTTTGAAAGCATGTTTGTCCTATGACTAGCACAAAAATAAGAGAAATTAGATACTCCAAATTTGTGTGAAGGACCATGTTTGGGAGAAAAATCCTTTTATAAGATAATTGAAGTATTTGATAGGAAATATCAACATGAAGCAAAAACAACATTGATATTAAGCTCAACAATCTTTTTTCTAAATTTTTGTGAACAAGAGTGTCCAGATGCTTCTGAATAACATCATCAACTAGATCCTCATTCTCGATTATCCAAGATGCTTATGCTGATAAAGAAGGCAGGTTATGCACGCAATAGCTACAGCCAGCTACTCTTCTATAAAGAAAGGCACTTACACAGATCAATGACTGCTGTAATGCCTAATTTCGACATAATTTGCATCATCGGAAAGCATCCTGCTGGATGTATTCGGATACTGTCTAGTCAATGGATAACTCAGTTACATATAGCAGAAAAAAGTAAAGCCCTTCAACAAACAACAAAACAGTTTTTCAGAAGACCGACAAACAAGTTAGATTACTGTTCATGAATCAGATTTGACACCTTATCTTGGAATTTGTTTTATCCATTCACAACAGGCACAAGACATTATAATTACCATGGCTAGTGACGCTTGAAATGTTTTAAGATTTCTATTAGTGAACTATTCAAATTTATCCAAGGCAAACCTGCATGCTTAAAGGTTAACAGTTCTTTATTGCTGCAGTTTGCACACCTGGGAAGCAGAAAAAAAAACGCATACCCATGCATGCCAGTCATTAATCTAAGTGTTCCTTGTTGTGCAACAAATGACTGATGCTTGCAGAAGGAAGTAAGATGAAAATGCCCAACCTGGTCACAAGATTATTGATAACAGGATAAAAAGACACATATACAATACATATCTGATAAGAAAATGTGATTAAACTAGTTTATAGGAAACCCTGCAATTTATAATTTTGCGAGTCCTAAATAATTGTAACCACTGAAACCCCGCAATTTATTATTTCACACAGCTTTTATAGGGGGATTTTATAAATGAATGAGTAAATTACTTGTGACATCATGAAAGCAATGAAATTAGCTTGAAATGAAAAATGGAGTATGTAAGCTAATTTATATGACCAAATTGAAAATAAATTACTCTTTTTGCACCATGGTATACCTCAGAGAGAACCATGGAGAAGCCTTCTAGGTTAGCTCCATTAGAATAGTTTATTGAAACAATACTCATAATTGTTTTTATATATAAATATATGTTTAATCATTTGCACATTTTTGCCTCCACAAGTATAGAAATAATCTCAAAAGAGGAAGGCTATTTTAACCACAGCTTCTGGTTTATGTTTCTCATGTCAAAGACTGGTGTATTACCAGCAATAGCCTAGCATTGATACCTGTCTGAATTTATAAAGAAATAAAGAAAGTGCAAACTATGTTTGTTGAATCTGTAATAAACTATTTTTCAAAGTAAGAGGTTTTTAAATCACTTCATCTGTACAGCACACACCTAGAGCCTGAAACTATTACACATTGGGCAAAGCTGGTCTAAAATTTAGATCTAAAAAGGAAAGAATTACTTGGTTGACGATACTAATGGCTTCAAAACAGCACAGCAACTGTTAAGAGTCAAAATGGAAGCTATATCTAGGGTTTGTATTTTTTTTTTCTCTTTTATTTCTGTAATACTTACAGCTCGAAAAAATTTAAATAAAGCAAGCTCATACCTCAAGATGTGCAGAGATTACAGACACAGTAGGGGGGGTTAATGCCGGTTTTTTTTTTAAGCCAATCAAACGGATTTGACACAAATTAGCTGCAAGTTAAATATTTTCAGTGATTAAAAAAGACAGATACAACTACGGTACCCATTTCTAGTGTGCAGTGTTTCTAGTTTCTTCATTGAATTGCATGCTTGTTTTTGTTTTGTTTTTCAGACAATAAATGTCACTAAAACTCTTTCAAATGTTTTTATGCCTTTGATTTTTTTTTTTTGTGTATGCAGCATATACGTCTTTTTAATCAAACTGAATAAAACGTTTTTCTGAGGGTTTATCCCCGGCATTTGAATTGTACAAATACAATCTCGCCCTAAAGTCATCAAAGATTTAAGATATTCTGGTGTCTCAAATTTAGTTTCTTTTTTCTGAAAATCATTAATAAGACCTCTCCTAACTGACATTTGCTTATTTGAGGAAAAAGTGATTTGAATGAAGAAAATTATGATTATTTTTGCAAGAATTTCTACATTTTAATGTACTTTAAAATGCAGCAGCTGTTTAATAATCATTCACATTTATTAATTTGTTTTGAAGTATAGTTGTTTTGAAAAAAGAAATGCCAACAAATGTGGTATTAGTTTGAATACAAGCAGAGAGGAACTACTTTGTACAAAACAGTAAGCAGAGCAGAAGACCAAGATTTTCTTTTGAACGGCACTTGTATTGAATATACTACATTCAGCAACAGCAGCCTTAATTTCAGTTCCTTGAATGGAAATAATACTACTGGCTGTGCCAAACGCTCTGCAAAAGATGGGAGTTAAAAGAATCCCTATAGATTGTTAAAAAAAGGAATCACATTAATTTCAACTTGGTTAATATCCACAGGTCATGAGGTTATACCCATTGGTGCCTAAAAGACAAAATAACAACATAGACCATTAGTAATAGTTTAAAAGTACCTGTACCTGTATACTAAAATAGTTATTTGACACTTGACCACATGGCTTTATGACCTAATCAAAACAATAGCATAATGTTAAAAAGCTGAAAAGACTGGTATGAGAGTTTACAAGCCAAAAGATCATTTCTAATCCCTTTAATACTGTCATGCTTACTGACTAAAAATAAAATAATAAAGAAAGAAGAGATTGAAAATAAAAAGGGGAGATTTCATCTTTTTATAATAATCCAAGATTACTTTATGGCTAAGGTAATAAATATTTAATGTTGGCTAGGGTAGATCATTACAGGACCCCTAATTTCTTATATCTCCACATTCCAGAGTTGTATTTTTAGTGTTCCTCCAGAGTCACTTATAAGTTCAATTTAAGTAAGATAGAAGAAAAAGAAAAATTGGATGGATGGTAGGGGTGTAAATAATAATCGTTTTGTCCACAAGAGTATCGATTCATGTTTTGTTTTTGCAGTCTATTTTTATCCATTTTCTCCAGAAAGTCATTCTGACTCCCGTGCTGTGGTGGCGCTAAACCTATTTTGCCCTCCTACCTCGCATTATTATTTTTCAGTGAATGACATATTCATAGGCCTAGGTGGAGTACAACTTTGCTACTTCTGTTATTTGCTACTGTTTTTCAAATAAAATGCATAACGATATTACAGCTTTCATTGACTTATTTCAAAGTTGAATCACTGTCTAGCCTGTAAGGTTAAAAAAAATAAATGAACCAATTAATCTAATTGAATCATATCATTGTGTATTCTTGAGTATCGAAAATAATCGAATCGTTGGGTCAGGAAATAGATACTGAATCGAATCGAATGATGGGTGTGATTTACACCCCTAATGGATGGATGGGTGAATGCATGGATTTCTCAAATCAAGTTACATATTGTTCTTTGGCTGTATAGTAGCTCACTGTATACTCTAAACCCTGAAAAGGTAGAGCACTTTAATAACATTTACTAAAAAGGCTCATGTCTACGATTAAAAATAAAAATTACTTAATAAAAATCCACATTTTGTAATTGATTTCGGTTTGAATATGATGAATATGGGTTTGAAGTGTTCCAATGTAAACTACAAAAAGTAAAATACCCCCAGCATTGTCAAATACCACACAAGATTCCCAAATAGTCTAGCTACATACGATACTTTGGTACCAAGGGAAGATGACCTGAAATGAAATTTGTTTTGTCATACAAACCTTTACATCTGCTATCACACCTGCTGGCCTTCAGGCGTATGTAGATAGAAGCTAATGGCTAACAGGCTTCCGAAGCGATTTTAACAGCTGTCATTCAGCGTTAGCTTCGGATAATCCCAAAATATACTTTGAACACTTCTCGATACCATGTTTAAAACTCAGTTATTACAGTAATATATGTGAAAATGTAAGCAAAACAACTAAAGAGAAGCGAAAAGCTAGCGTTAACCACGGACAAGGCCAGATAGTACGAGGCTAAACAGTTAGCTTAAAATCGCTCTGTTGCTAATTTCTAGGTACGAAATTGTAGCCTTCGACGTTATTTTTCGAAAGCAGTTCCCGGTTATTGTGATAATATGGTTAGTTTCCGAGCTTCATATAATTTCCAACACACGATTAGGCTAAGAGAGCTAGCAACCAATAAACACCGTCAAATTTGGCCCAAATATCTGATAAAAAAATTTAAAAAAGGGTAACATTTTCTGTTAGCAACGCAGTTAAAAACAACAGGAAAAAAACATGACAGTTTACATAACAGTAACCAAATTGAAAAAGTAAAAGCAATAGGGAGCATAAAATATTCATTGACTGATATACCTAATGCTACCAAAGCTAGTTCGTTAATGCTTTATAACTGAGAAAAACATCCCAAATGACGCCGCGAGGAGTACTATCCCCTTGAGAAACACTCATACTAAATATATTTAATCTAAATCACCCAAATATGTCGTGTTTCAGGTTAAACTTCGGTTACGGTTCTTACCCTAAGCACTACCGGGCAACTCCTTAATCCAGCCAGCCGAAACTGCTCAGAGAGCGGCGCAGCCTGGATCTCACAGACATTTAGCAAACTAGCTCACCGAACGAAACGGTTAAAAACGAAACACTGTCACCAACTGTCTCCCCCTTTAACGAATCAACTTTAGTCGTTAAAATACAGCGTGTTACCTTGTAATGTTCAGCTATCGAAACCCAGTCGAAGTCATGGTTCTTCGATCGTTGGCTTCTTTCCCGTGTAGCTCCTCTTGTCCCCAAGTTGCTATGATTGCACAGCGATGAAGTTGGTGTCTGATTCTGTCCTTGCGAATCGGCACACCGTTAAAGGGATAGTGCACTCATTTTAAAACTAATCAGGCAGAAGTTTCTATAAAACAACCAAATTACTTTAGATTTAGTTTGTGTCAGCTTTGATACTTTTTCTTTTTCTTATTATTTGTTGTGAATCTCAAAATGAAATGTAATCTTATTTTTATTATTGTTCAACTCTTTTTGCATTATCCATTCCATGAGATGTGTGATCATGGGCGGTTCTAGACAGGGGCCAGTGCCCCTGTAAATGATGCATTGCCCCATTTGTTAATTTTTTTTTGTACATTGAAAAAATAATTTTAACTTAATCCATTTTTCTGACACGCTTTATCGCTTTTAACGCTGGGTCATGAGGGGAGCTGGTGCCTATCTCCAGCTGTCTACAGGCAAGAGGTGGGGTACACCCTGGACAGGTCGCCAGTCCATCGCAGGGCAACACAGACACAAACAACCACTCCTACACACTTTCACACCTAAGGAGAATTTAGAGAAGTTGGAAGAAGCCGGAGCACCCAGAGAGAACCCACGCATGCTCAGGGAGAACATGCAAACTCCATGCAGAAAGGCCGGGAATTGAACCCAGAACCTTCTTGCTGCAAGGCATCAATGCTACCCACTGCAGCACTGAGCAGCTCATTAATTTACCTTAATAATTTAATTGAAATACAGAATATACATATATTACCAAGATTCTACCACAAAGTGATACATTGAAGGTTTTTATTTTTGTTAAATTCAAATAAAATCACTTAGGTTTGGCTCAATGAGAAAAGAAATCAGTTTATTGTAAATAATAATGATAAAGGGCATTTTTATATTATAGCTATTTAGCATGTAAAGGCCGGTGCTAAAGAAGGTGGCTTTTCATCGATTGTGTTATATGAGCACAACAATAATAGAAATAAAAAAAAAAAAATAAAGGAAAGAATGCAGGGATAAAAACAGAGACCAAGAGAACTTCTCCAAACCTTTATCTATTTTCTGCAATATAAACATTCATAAAGCAACTGAATTCAGAGTTTTACATCAGCGGTAAAATCTAGATGCATGCAATACATCTGTGTCTGGGTAGTAAATGATTAAACTTTTGAGTTTCGCTACTGGAATGATTAATCTTTGACATTATAATAAATAACAAGGCAGTACTATTCTTATGATATGCTTTAGATCTCCTCTGTGCAATAAAGAATTAAACATTGCATCTTTTTTAAGCCACTTGTTAAAAGGGTAAGCATTTTCAATCAAGTTCTATTTAGTAATAGTAATAATATGTGGATTTTTCTCCAGTAGATTCAATGTTTCAAAACTCTTAAAAAAAATTTTTTAAGTTTCTGTACACAACAGCAATCCATATATTAGCATCTCAAATAGAGTTTTGAATCTAGGCTCTGAAAAGTCTTGAAATAACCCTTTAGTTCAGTGCTGACTCGAAGTTCTCATTCGGATACGAACATCAGCACTGGTCTTATAATGTGGTCTCTTTAAGCTTCCTTCAGCTGCGCAGCGTCACGCTTTTTCACTGCGCATGATGTTAGGCAAGAAACCCAACGCAACAGCTTTGGTGAATACAACCAAACACCGGGATGCGCAGAGGCTGCTATAAACCGGTTGAGTAAAGTTGGCCAATAAGCACCTATAATGCCACGTATCAAAGAACTATGAATGAATTATACAATTTTTTTTTTTCATTTTTTTTATAACAGCAGACTTTTATTTCAGTAGTGTACTTTTAAAATGATGTAATCATTAATGCAGAAATGATAAATTATTTTCACACTTTTATGACATAAACGCGAATGGATTGTAGATTTTTTTTTATAGTAACACTGATTACTTACTTACTTATAAATAATATTATTACAACACCGGTTAACTATATTTAAGTAAATTATGATGCATTGCTCTTGATTTTACCACAGTTATTAAACTTCTTCCACCTTTAAGTAATTTGGTCTAGCACTTTATCGATTCCAAGGACCACTATTTTAAATGTAAATGTTTGCTCTATTTTAATACTGAATATTTGTATTTATTCACTCAGTCTCTTGTTTGTCATGTTTGTAAATGTGAATTGGTTCTCAAACTGTTTACCTGAATAAACAGAGGTTACATAAATAAATAGATAAATAAACCCAACATTCAATCGTTTCACACATTCACGGATTAATGGAGGTGAGCTTGTAGCTACAGGTGCCTTGGGGCACATTGACAGAAGCGAAGCTGCCACCAGGAACATGCAGCACATCAGGTGGGAAGAGAGGATAACACTTAGGACCTACCGCTCCTTTGACATAACACGATGGTGGCAGTGCCATGCTGTGGGGATGCCTTCTTTCAGCAAATAGGGAAGTGGGTCTGTTTGATGGGCAGAAGGTGGACAAATCAGAACACAAAATGTAATTGGACTAGACATTTAAACAACAGAAAATGTTCATGACTGTTTTGATAATCTAATACCTTTTTATATCATGTTTATTTGAAGCCAGACAATCGATTCATTTCTTTAGCTTAAATTCCTTTAGCAATTCACTGCTTCATGTAGTGGAGAAGAATCTCAGTCTTGGTCCTCAGTAATTATGGCACCAATTATCTCTGTCATGCTAAAGAAAATGGTGAGCTGAAAGGCATAGTTCTTAAGTCAATACTCCATCTATGTTCTCTCCTTCACAGTGGCAAGGAGATTTAAACCATTTGTGATGGATGGATGGATGGATGGATGGATGGATGGATGGATGGATGGATGGATGGATG